AATGGTGCCGGGGCATGGTGGCAGTGACAGCAGGGATCCGCAAGCCAGAACCCCGGCCGGCAGTGACGTGCACCCACAGTCTGGGAAACCAGCGGAGAGACATGCACCAAAGCCACCCACAAGTGAGCAGGTGTCAGTGGGGAGCAGCGGCCCCACCGCCCCGTTCCCAGCCAGGGAGGCCGGTGAAGGTCCCTCGGAGCAGTTACCAAAGTGGCCGGCAGCCACCGAGCCGCACCTTCCAGCTTCCTCGGCAGAGAACTCCAACTACTTAGCAATTCCTGTGAAAACCCCCAGATCCTCTCCAATGCCAAGGCCGCCCTTGGTCTCCAATCCAGTCAGCGCGTCCTTTGGGACCCCCTCAGTCCCCCGTCCAGCCAGTTGGTGCCGCTGCCCCCAGCCCAGCCCCAGCCTCGCCTCGAGGACGCTCCCCATTTCCTAAGGAGGACCGATGGCACCTCACCAAGCAGCAAGAGCACACCCAGCCCCTCCAAGCCCTTTGCCCCCCACCTGCCCACGCACCGGAGGATGCTCGTTGATCCTGACAGTGGTAAATGCTACTACATGGAGCCACCGCGGCAGCCCCAGCTGAAAACGCTCTACGACCCCGAGACGGGTCAGTACCTGGAGGTGCTCATCCCACCAGTGGCATCGCATGCTGGGCTCTACCAGGCTCTCAGTCCCCAATCCAGCCAGCACGTCCTTTGGGACCCCCTCAGTCCCCAATCCAGCCAGCGCATCCTTTGGGACCCCCATGATTCCCAACATGACCAATTCATCTTTTGGCTACCCATCAGCCTCCAGCCTGGCCAGCACATCATTTGGAGCTCCCTTGGTGTCCAACCCCACCAACAAGTCTTTTGGAACACCCTTGATCCCCTACCCAGCCAGTGCATCATTTGGGTCCCCCTTGGTCGCTAACCTGTGTGGCGCATCCTTTGGGACCCCTTTGGTCCCTAATCCAGCCAGCGCATCCTTTGGGACCCCTTTGGTCCCTAATCCAGCCAGCGCATCCTTTGGGACCCCTTTGGTTCCTAATCCGTCCAGTGCATCCTTTGGGACCCCTTTGGTCCCTAATCCAGCCAGCGCATCCTTTGGGTCCCCCTTGGTCCCTAATCCATCCGGCGCATCCCTTGGGACCCCCTTGGTCCCTAATCCATCCAGTGCATCCTTTGGGACCCCCTTGGTCACCAACCCAGTGCCTGCTCCCTTTGGGCACCCATCAGTCTCCAACATGGCCAGCTCATCCGCTGGCTCCCCTTCGGCTCCCGACCGGGCCAGCACTGCACTGGGGACTGGCGTGTCACCCCTGGCCAGTGGGGAAGTTCCCTGGAGCAAACCCAGCCCTGAGCCCCCCCAGCCCCAGCCCCCCGAGGGACTGCTGCCAAGGGCGAGGGGCCGCCTGCTGCTGGGGGGCCAGACTGCGGGTACCTGGAGAGCCTGTACTACATCCCCACGGGGATGCGGGCCAGCCCTGGCCCCAGCCCTGGCCAGCCCCCTGCCCGCACCAGCCCTGCCGGGCCTGAGAAGGGACCGCTGCTCCAGATGTGACCATCCTCAGCTGTGGACGGACCGTGTGGCGTGTCCCTTCCCAAGCAGCTGGGCTTTTAACCCCAAAGTCAGCATAACCCCCGGCATGGGAGCGACCCCCTGCCCACGGCTGAGCTGGCAAAGCACAGAGGGGTAACGGGCACCAGCTGGACCTCACCAGCTCCTCATGGGAATGGGGGAAAAAAGGGTATTTTCAAATATTTCCAGGGCAGGGCTTGAAGTCATGGACCCCGGCTGGCAAAGGGACCAGATGCATGGCCCCTGCTCTCCCCCGTGCTGCCGGTCCCATCCTGAGGGCAACCTGGGCTGGTTGGCACAGGGGGACGATGGCCTGGCCACCACCAGTCCCCCCCAGCCACGGCTGCAGCACGGATGCCCTAAAATAGTAATAAAAGTGCTGAGATGGCATTAAATGCTGCATATTCATCCCGTGTTTGTGTAGTCTGTAAAGGGAGGCAGGGTGCGAGGGGCTCCCGCGGCCCCATCGGGGAAGCTGAGGCACTCGGATCCTGCAGTCTGTCTGTCTGTCCTGGAGCACCCGCTGGATGAACCCCTGGTCCCCGGGGAGCAGGAGGGGACTCTGCGGTCAATGGTGATCCCTGACCCCCCGGCCCTTGAACACCAAACCCCCACAACCCCCAGCCCTGACCCCCAAACCCCAGCCCCGAATACCACTCCCAAACCCCAGACCCCAGCCCTGAGCCCCAAACCCCAGCCCCGAATACCACTCCCAAACCCCAAAACCCAGCCCTGAGCTCTGAGCCCCCAGTCCTTGAACCCCAAACCCCAGCCCTGAGCCCCAAACCCCAGCCCTTGAACCCCAAACCCCAGCCCTGAGCCCCAAACCCCTGCCCCAGCCCAGGAGGGTCAATGCCGTCCCAGGGAGGATTTGGGTCGAGGAGGAGGGGCCAGGCGTTGCAGGGCTGAATTACCCCAAAAACCTCCAGGGGAGGGGACAGTGGGCTGGGGACACCCCGTGCGCACACCCCCCGGCCCTGACACCCTGGGGATGGACGGGGCCGCCTCAGCCGGATGCAGGTGCGTCAGCCACGCATCAGCGCCCGCTTGCCGGCCCTGGGGGGTTTATAGCTGCCCCGTGCCTCCGCCCCGGCACTTTCGGCATCGTGGCAGGATGCGGCCGGCGCTGGCGGCGTG